TCCCTGGCACCGCAAGCAGCCGTCGTAGGAGCACGGTATCCAACCTGGCCGCGGCGTGGTGGAGAGATGTAGACAGCATCTCGAAACTCCCGCGGCCTCCAACAAAATTGACGTTGATGTCTTTCTCGGCCAACAGCCTTTCGGTTATCTCGTCGCATGAGGAGTAAGTCGACAGCCAAAGTGGCGTATTGCCATTTTTGTCTTTGCAGTTCACGTTGGCACGGGGATGACTTAGGAGCAAATTGACCATTTCCAGGCGCTTGTTTCGAATGGCGAGGTGGAGCGGCGTATAACCATTCCGGTTCTGGATGTCCAAACTCGGGCCCTTTTGTCCGAGAAGCCGTTTGACAACATCTACTGACCCATAGGCCACTGCTTGCTGAAGAGGTAGCTCAGCCTCTTGTGATGATTTGGTACCAAGAAACACCTTGGCCATCGGATCGTTTGAAAAAATCATTTCCATCACGGGTCTATTGAAGCGACATGCCCAGTCCCATGGCGAGTGGCCCGAATCGTCCTGTAGATCAGGGTCGCTGCCACTAGAAAGTAGCAGATGCACGAATCCTATTCTGCCTGCGAAGACTGCTAGGTGGAGCGCCGTTCGGCCGTGTTTGTGCTTGACGTCCACCTGGACGTTGGGTTGTTCTAGAACGCGCTTGACGGTGGAAAAAGTTCCGTAGTGGATGGCATACCACAGGGCGCTCTCCCGCGCTTGATTTTGAACGTTGACGCCTAGGTCTCCACGACTGAGCAAGAGGTCCCGCACAGCAGCGGAAGAGTATTTGAGCGCCCTCATTAAAGGAGTTTTGCCTCGGTAAAATGCATTGATGTTGGCGTTGCGCTGGAGCAAAGCCTCCGCAAGACCAATGTTGTCGTATTTGACGGCCAAGTGCAAAAGATTGCTGTTCTGAAATTTGATGTTGTATTTCCAGATGCTGGGCTGCAGTTTAAAATCAAAGTCTTTGCATGATTTTGCGAGGGCAAATAATGCACTACCGTCCAAATACGACACAATCCACAGCAAAAGCTCGTTGGGCAAGTCTCTGATGTTTGGCTGTAATGTATTAGCTCATCGGTAAACTCCGTAAGAACGAATTGAACAGACCATGATTGGACAGCGGATTGAGCTAACGAAATGTAGATGGGGGTGAGGTGAGAGTTGTGAAAGTAGGATATCGGAGGCCTTTATATACTCACCTCAGCTAAATTCCGTGGTCAGCTAGGATTCTAGTCTGTCACTTCGCTGAAAGGTGCGTAGCAATCACACGGCAGCATCAAAGCCTTGACAACAATGTTCAGGCGGAGTTGGAGAATCTCTGGAGTCTAGCTCCTGGGAACGCCAAAACTGTTCCTGGTACTGTGTCGATGGCCTGGGAACCGATTCTATCTCTACGTACCCGGATCTTGCATCTAGCGCCATAAGAACAAATCACAACCTATCGCGCACTTCGAAATTCATAGGCACCCAGAATTTAACCCGGTATTTGTCGACTTTGCTGCTCACCGCAGTAGCCAGTCTGTTCGCCAATGCATGTCCCCGCGATGGATAGTCAAACGTGCAGCTGATTGCAGCAGTGGTCTGGAATGATATCCCTTCTTGCAGGCTACTGATTGGCCGTATAGTGGCGCATACTGCGTGCGAATGCATTCTCCAACGTACCGACTGTTTCAAGGAAGTGTCCCATGCCAGCCACGCAGCCATGTAGGTAAGGAGCCCACGCGATGGCATATAAAGCTGGCGAGGGAACGCTGCGGTGATTGCCAACACCACCACAATCCGAATCATTTTCTGCCTTTAACGACCACCTCAATAACTACCATGCTGCCTTGGAATCCGTTTCTTGTTTGCGAGATAGAGGTCAGCCCCAATGGCGGTCCTGGCTCTTGTTGCGGGACGACGAAAAAAGGCGAGCCGTGCAAAAACTCGATCAAAGTTGAAGACACCAAGGTCGGCCATCAAAAGTTGACCACTCTCGCCAGAGAGCCATTTGACTTGTCATCGTTGCAGTCGAAGCTCTGTGACGTCGCCAGAGACTTCCTCTGCGCGAGATGGCACCGGCAACGGCAGGCCGACCAAGTTGGCCAGCAGTGGTATGAAGCCGCCGTCCGCAACCAGGCGCGAGTACCACACGGCTCCAGAATGGCTTCTCCATCAGTTGTTGTACATCCAGGCCAGCGTCAGACATCGTCAGCCTCCAGGCGACGCCCTGCATCAGACAACACTGGCCCGTCACCTCCTCACAGGCTCAGACAAAACCCGCCGGTGCGGCTTTCAACCAACCCCGAGCCAGTGCAGCCATTCAATCCGTTTGTGACTTCTGCAATGCTGCGGACGAACAGTGTTCCATGGCGCGTTTCGCCAACCCGACCAGCCATCCTCTCATCGGCAACTAATATCCGGGCGGGTGTCCAAGACTTGACGCTGCAGAGTCTCAGGCCGAGCCAAGCGGTCGACAGCATCTACTGTGTGTTCTGCCAGACCGAGGATGAACACCATGCGGACGAGAGCGTAATTCTACACTGCGGTCAGTGCACATCGCTCTGTCATCTGTCGTGCGCCGAAGAATGGTTGGAAAAGCGAGATACAGGGTTTGGCACGTCATGCTGTGTGTGGTAAGTGTGGATGACCTTATTTCTGAGACGACCAAGATACTGATGACCGCAGCCGAAACGAAGGTGCCCTAGATGCCTTGATTCGCCCTTTACCAATCACCTCATCGGATGCCGAAACATATTCCGTCCTCGCAGCAAGTGAATCATCTCCCGATGGTGGGCCCCGTCGCTCAGCCAGACTAGCAGGAACTTATCTACCGCGACAACCTTCCACCGCTGCACCGCTTCGCCGATCGGCACGACTCAATTCCACTCAGCGTAGATGATCACAGGTTACAGCCGTTATAGCCGTGATATACAATTTTGAAGCAAATTAGCAAGAAATGAAATACCGATGGTTAAACTCAGAAGGACAACGCGACCGTTTCATCTCGTAAGTGCTGGACACCAATACACCATAGCCAGTAGCTATTGACTGCTTCGGTGATTCCGAAAATGTCTGAGCTCGAAACTATAGTGGTAGATAAAAGTTCTGTTCTCATGATACCTAACAGCGGTGACCAAAGAAACAGAGGATACATCTCAGTGGAGCCGTGTCGCGTGAAGGCGGGGATTGTTGGCAGAAAAGCCACAGGCAAGAGACTGACAAACTCTCGTGCCTGTTAACTAACTCTGGGAACCAATATGTTGGCCCTGGGAACCTCAAAAGCATTTCTAGGAGCTGTTTATCCCTTAGGAACCTCAATTTAGCTCCTGGGGCTATTCTTAGTTTCTAGGAAAATGAGATCTAGCTGTCAGAGATCGAGCATATATAGTAGCTTGGGTGTTTGGTCGCTGACCAAACATTGTGCCTTTTTGGCCAGATGGCGTAGTGGTAAACCCAAGCATCCATGAACCGTCACACTAGCCCTGGGATCTACACTTTACGTTCCTGACTGAATACGAAACTGGCTCTGGGAGCTGTGGAGCCCCTGGGAGCTTACTTTAGGGTCCTAGAGTCACTATCTTGCTTTCCGAGATCGCTGAAAGCCCTCACAAAACACCTTCACCGGACCTGCGCAAAATCCTGCGTCATTCGGTCACTCCTAGAAGGCCAAATCATCGCTCCAGGAATCAAGCAAATCGTCAACAGGAACGCGGCTTTGATTCCCCGAGGTGGGGATACCAGACCCCAGAAGCCACATCGGGTTTCCTGGGGGCTACGTGGCTCCTAGAGGATGTTTCTTTGCTCCCAGAAACGTCTCAGAGGCTTCCGGGAGCAAGAGAACTCCCAGGGTCAAGAGATAAGTTCCTAGCACCAATGAAACCATCTACAGGGGCGTGACCTGTTTCTTAATGGTGATGAAGAAAATGTGCATGTTTGTATCTGGATACCGCTATGGATATCTAGTTGCTGGTTATACGGACAGAGACAGAAAGTGTGCATAAAACATGGAAAGTTTTATCTAAGTTCCGGCGTTGAAGGCCATATAAAAATGACTTCGGACCAAAGTACCCCTAGAGAGAATAATTTTCGCTTTATTCGGGAGGCAGAACTCCAATGGGATGACGCCTGTTTGAGCACCACTTTACGTGCGGGTGAGAAGTCGAACACCACTGCAGGGAGTTGCATACAACCCAACCCCAACTTGCAATCTCAAGCACGGTTGCTCCATCGACATAGCTTCTTACTCCCAACAGGGCGATCTGTTGTATGTGATTCCTCGGTCCAAGTGATAAGAAAGGAAATTGAAAGACTAAACAATGCGCTAGGACAAGCAGGCAATCGCTCCAAGCAAACCATGCGAATTCGGAAATGATTCTGGCAGATTCTCAAGGTAACAAGATACCTCTTGAGTCTGCCATTGGTATTTGCATTACCCGTGCTCCCGTGATCGGCGAGCTGTTTGTCGTCGAGCTCGAAGACCGTCGGAAAACTCAAGAAGTGTCATATTATATGTATGTTCAATCCCTGGGACGACAATATAACGCACAAACTAACCCGTAACATCAAAGGGCGTATTCAATCACTATGGCCCAGTCTTCCGAAAATGGGAAGTCCCTTATTTGCTTTTCGTCGGATTGGGACAAGGTCTCGAATACTATCATATCGATGGAAGTCTTCTAGAGAAGCGCCCAAATTGGGAAATAAAGCATAGCTACAATACAGGCTATTACTACTCCCCGACTGAAATCATAGAACTTTATGCAGAATCGAATCACAACTTACGAATCAGCATGAGTCCATCAGAACACCCGTTCCACTTGGCTCAATTGCATTTCTGTCCTCTTCTTTTTCTTATGTGGCCTCAATACATATAATGTTCAAAAAGGAAATGAAACCAGACATTGAAAAACATAACTAATAGAAAGCCAAAATTCCATGCACCTGCAAAGTAGTGAAGGGTATGTTTGGTACATCCCGAGAGTTGCACTTGTTCTTCATATTTCCTCAATCCGCGGAACAATCAGAAGAAGGTGCGGTCTGGGAGGTAGTCAAGGATGACTCCGACATTGATGACGAAGACCTCGGTGTCGTCAAAGCGGAGGACGCCTTGGTGGAAGATCCCGAGTCAGAAGCAATACATCGGCTGCCATGCTTGAGTCCGTTGTCTAATGTACATGACGACATTTCTCCCTGGTGATTGGAGAAGGTGACTACCCCCGTATCCTTCACCTGAATCCATGCAGCTGACGAATTGTCTTCCGTGCCACAAGCCTCCACCCCGTGCACAGGGTAGCGATGGGTATGGTCTCCGACTTCGTTCACCGCTGCGAGATTGTTAGTAACTCTTTTTGCTGACTCTTATGCCAGAAGTCCACTTACTTGAGCATTTTTCTCCCTCAAGCTGGCCAAAGAATGCTGAAGATCCCGTGCAGCCATGGTTGTCATAGGACCATATCGCGCATTGACCATCAATATCAATGATCTCAAGGGTGCCGCCGAGAGATCCGCTTGCATAGGCACATTCAACATCAACTTCTCCAAAAAGAAACAAACGCTTCATAATTGGTAATGCAGCTCACCAATGTCACCGCTCTGGTTCTTGGCTCCTCACCTCCTCCGGCCTTGCCGCTCCTCCTTCTTGGGTCAAGCCTGCCACTATCCAGCTCGCCAACGAACAATCTGGTGCCAGTGCCAACTTTCCTTTCCCCGTTGATGGCGTGAAGCGCCCTGTTCAGGAGCTCTGGGGCCACACTGCAGTTGCACAAGAAGGCCTTGTCTTCGCCTCAAGTGCCATGCTTACTGATTTCCAGCAGACCACAGTTTGCGAGCTCACCGAAGATCCAGGTCTAGATGTCAGCATGAACGCTGAGAAAACATACACTTCTTTCGGGGGAGGCGTCAAGGACCTCTGCTCTACCTATGTGGTGTGCAAGTGCGAGTGCATGTGAAAATTCAATTCTAAAACAAGCTTCTGGATAGGAAGAAGGGCTTGGCGATTGATTTTTATCTTTAACAAGTCTGGCGGAATAGTAGGTACAGCTGTTTACGTGCGCTAATCGGTACAGTATGCGAATGTCATCTTGAACAAGTTCTGCTGCGTTTTGTCTCTTGAACGAAATAAGTTCTCATGTCCCCTGCAAGTTCAAGCTTATTAGGGGTGCGGAGAAAAACTAAGTTCCTCTATTCGTATTCGAAGTTATTCAAGCTGTCAACAAAAGAGGGTCGCAATCTTACTAGTGCGCCCGAGGAAGTGACTACAGGTCAGTACACCTAGGCACGTGATCGTATGCAAACACCCTCAAACAAAATTTCACTATCTGTCGGTATAAATGACCGGAGCTAGGTTGTTCCACTCCGGAGCATGTTCATTGCCAGTGTTGTTAGTCATGATGCCCATAAATTGTGTGTACGAAGGGGTAGTAAACAATTCAGACCTTTTGCCATTTTCCATTGGATGACCTGCTATTACGGGTACCGCTGATTCCGACATATACACTTATGACTAATGCGTGCACTCGGAGCATCCATTTTTCTGATCTCACGCAGTATTCGTAAGGTAACTAAGTTAACGTTAACGTATTCGGTAAGCGAGCCGGCCATGTAAGCCAGCCGGCCACCTAGCGCGAAACGCGTCAATTAATTAGACCTTTCTTCTTCAACCACCCACCATGCCACCAATTCGTACTCGATCCTCTCGAAATTTAATCGAGCAAGAAGGCAGGCTCTTATTAGCTATTCAGGCTATTAAGAAACAAGAAATATCTTCTGTTCGTGAAGCAGCGCGCTGTTTTAACGTACCTCGTACAACTCTTCAAGACCGACTACGCGGCCACCAAACACGCACCGAAACTCGCGCTAACAGCCATAAACTAACAGCAATTGAAGAGGAATCGCTTCAAAAATGGATCATCTCTCTTGATGACCGTGGAGCAGCGCCTCGGCCATCTACTGTACGAGAAACTGCGAATCTTCTTCTCGCGGCGCGGGGAACTATACCAGTTCAAACAGTCGGCGAGAAATGGGTTTATAACTTCGTAAAAAGGCATCCCGACCTTTCAACCCGATTCTCGAGGCAATATAACTATGAGCGCGCAAAATGCGAAGACCCTAAAATCATTCGTGAATGGTTTTCTCTCGTCCAAAAAACGATCCTTTCGTACGGTATCGATTCCGACGATATCTATAACTTTGACGAGACCGGTTTTGCAATGGGCTTAATTGCGACCGCGAAGGTTATTACGAGAAAGGAATACTACGGTCGGCGAGCACTTTTACAGCCCGGAAATCGCGCGTGGGTGACTACAATTGAATGTATAAACGCGTCGGGGTGGGCGCTTCCTCCGTGCGTGATTTTTAAGGGCAAAGTCTTCGTCGAGTCTTGGTTCGACGGCCTTCCGGACGATTAGCGCCTCGAGGTTAGTCCGAACGGGTGGACTTCCGATGAAATTGGACTTCGGTGGCTCGAAAAGCTCTTTATTCCGTCTACTTCTTCGCGTACGAAGGGGAAGTATAGACTTTTAATACTCGACGGCCACGGGAGTCATTTAACCCCGAAATTCGACGAAATTTGCGGAAAAAATGATATTATCCCAATTTGTATGCCTCCGCATTCGTCTCACCTTTTACAGCCTCTCGATATCGGCTGTTTTGCGGTGTTAAAACGGTCTTACGGTCGGCTTATCGAATCGAAAACGCGTGCTAGAATCAACTACGTCGATAAATTAGACTTCCTCGAAGAATACCCTCTCGCCCGAATCGAGGCATTTAAACCAGAGACTATTAAGAATAGCTTCGCCGCCGCCGGTTTAGTGCCTTACGACCCCGATCGAGTGATCTCGAAGCTTAATATATGCCTTCGAACCCCGACCCCCCTCCGAGCCGAGGGAGCGAATCGAGCCGTAATTTCACCCCAAAAACACCTTTTACCGAGAAACAACTACGTCGGCAAGCTTCTCTAATTAAAGCTTTACTTCGTACAAGATCGCGAAGTCCACCGAGCCCGTCAGATCGCGCTTTAAATCAGCTTATCAAAGGCTGCCAGCTTGCAATGCATAACGCTATCTTACTAGCGAAGGAAAATAAGGAATTACGGGCCGAAAACGAGAAAAAAAAGAGAAAACGGACTCGGTCTACTAGGCAGATATCTCGAGAACAAGGCCTATCAGTTTCAGAGGCTCTCGAGCTTATTCAGGTGGAAGAACCAGTAATTAAAGCGCCAATACCCCGTCAGCCAAGACCGCCTCCGGCACCTTTACAGCCGCGTACGAGGGCCTTACCGAAGTGTGGAGCATGTGGAATTGAGGGTCATAAGAGAAATGCCTGTCCTAATAGACCTCGATTTTAGCTTATTGAATTTAATGGCGTTTTGGTTGAAATAAATGCATTTAAAATTAATAGATCGGGTTGGGTGGCCGGCTGGCTTACATGGCCGGCTCGCTTACCGAATACGTTATGCTTGACAGTTCATTTCTGCCTGTAGAATATGGCACTGACATGTGGGGCCCGGTCCTCCTTTGGGCACCCAACTCAGATAAGTCTCCCCCTATTTTTGACTGCGAAGCAACCGGTCCCCCATCAACGAGAAATGGCGTCTTACAGCCTCATTCAGTCTTTTTAACACCGAAGGAAGACGTCACTATATCCATCTCTCTGGCTTTGGGGCCTTCTGTTTATAGAGATTCGTACGTTACACGTTCATTTCCCTCATTCTCCGTCGCAGTAATGCTATCCAAAGTACTCCCTTCCGGCTGTGGCGTCTGTGGTCAACACAAGGGTCTTCTTCGATGCTCTGGGTGCAAGGTGCTGCTATACTGCGGCCGCGATCACCAAGCAGCTGATCGCCCGTCACACAAATCTGCTTGCAGCACCGTCCGAAGATCTCGCGTCACTATGGTGGAAGAAGAGCAGGCCCTGCACAACCACCCAGGAGACTTCATGATGCCCGAAGACCCTTTCACCAATGGTGTCGGACATTTCTGGGGCTTATTCGAAACCCGTGATTATATGCGAGCTCGGTTTGCACTCGTCGAAGCAATGGCCAAAATCAACAGTGCTGAGTCTGTTGAGGCGCAGCTTGGCCATCTCATAGATATGTTGCGTCTGTGCCGAGGTGATAACATGGGTGTGCGGGATCTCGTGCCTGCACTGATGCTGCGACTTAACAAGGACCAAGAATGTTATGACTTTATCAAGTGGTGGGTCGTCGTGAGTGAGAATCCACATTACGACTGGGGAGACACCTCTCTGCCATACCTCGATATCAAAAATGCCGATGTGTTAGAGCCTGTTGATCGTTTCTGTGGCCAGTTCCATGCTCTCAGCCACTTTTCTACCCTGACGCTCTTGAAAATTAAGCTGCTCCTTGACCTCACGAGGTTGGAACAGTCATATTCCAGTCTGGGTACCATCGTTCCTCGTGAGATCCTTGATATAATTCAGTCGTCGGTGCCCCACAGCCCCGCTGTGCGTGCCAAACACGATATCATGAATGGTGGATGTGATACCCGCACCACCATGATACAGAGGTTGAAGGCGCAGGTCGATACCTTATATAAGGAAGTCCACCGGGCAAATAAATTTTTTTGGCTCGCCCTCATCAATCCAAGCAATCATTTGATGGGGCGCCCCATGGCATACTCACCTGGGAGCGTGGAGGAAACACAAATAAATTTACATTACAACTACGATGTGTGGATTGAGACTACTGGTGCCATTGATTTCATCAAGGCAAAAGTTCATGGTGATATTTAATCGGGTATCTGTGCGCCATTGGTACAGTATGATCGAAGCGTGTGATGAATCAATTTAAGTAGAACTTGGGGGCCTGTGAAATTGACGCCTAAATTGACCGCTTCTGAGGCTATATAAGTTATGGCCGGCTTGCTACCGCACCTCCAGTACCATCACTATTTCAGGCACTGTTGTGATATGAAACCCGGCAGCATTGGAAACAATTCCAACACTGCGGAATCATCGCGTCTAATTAGTCAACAATCTGCAACGTTAACATGTGTGCGGCAGTGCGTATTGGCTTACTCCTGCTGCACTGATTTGGAGACACATTTTGTCCCCCTAAACCGCTACGCCGGATTTAGCTTATTCAGAATTGACTTCACTTGGCACATTCCAGAACCGAAAAATTGCATAACGTTACTTTCTTTTAAAAGAGGTTCCCTGATTTTAAGGGCCTGTAACTCGACTTTTTTAGTTAAAGCGTAATTTTTCGCGAGATATGTGGCGGAGAGACGATTAAACAAGCTCTGTCGGCTTTAACTATTAGGAACTGTAATTCGTATCAGGGTTTTGCGCTTTGACGTGCCCGGTCGTTCGCTATGGATAGGACCAGCAGGTGTTTTTTATCTCGGTGGTTCGCCTCGTTCGCTCCAATTGGTGCCCAGGCGGAGGGCAGCGAGATTTTTGGATTCGCTGAACCACGACTGATCTTTTCACGAGGTTCCAGCGTTCCAGCATTACAAAGGCTTCTGGAAAGCTTGTCAACTTTGCACTAGGAAAAGGGAAGGTCGGCTGCTGGCGTTTCACCTCCTCTCTCGCCCTGAAGGGCTCTGACAACGGCGACAAGCTCAAGCAGAGCCCGCCGCTAAGTACGTCTCACCAGCCCCAAATTTCTCCGTATCTGGGATCTAGAGCAACTGGAATGGAGGATGTATTTAGGATGAGCAGGAATACAACCATATGACAAAACCGAATGCCAGGACCTCTGCTGACAACCACTTTGTTCCTCAAACAGCTCTCAAGGCTGACGACATCCCCAAGCGTGGCAAGGAGAAGGTTCTGCAAGATCACAAGACCAGACTGCTGTGGGGTTTTATTATCTTTTTGTATCTGCCGTGCGCTGGACGATGAGAACGCCAAGAGACCTTGCTTATCTCCCGAGAGAGATCATTCTCCTCACGGCGGAGAATCTCAACCCTCGTGACCAATTACCACTCTTACACGCTGTTCCTGACCTCGTACGAGTCTTGACATTTCGACACACTTCTATTCAGGATGAAAAAGGGAACACAATCTTACACCTTCTCGCAGAAGAAGCTGAGGGCAGACTGAAAGAGCTGCTACTAGCGAAGAATAGTACTCAAGTGGACCCGAAGAACAAGAATGGTCAAACACCACTATCGTACGCAGCTGGATGCGGAGATGAAGAGGTGGTGAAGCTACTGGTTGAGCGAGATGATGTGGATGCGGACTCGGAGGATGATGATGGTCGGACGCCACTGTCACTGGCCGCCCTTTGTGGACATGAAGAAGTGGTGAAGCTACTGGTTGAGCGAGATGATGTTAAGGCGGACTCGGAGGATGATGATGGTCGGACGCCACTGTCACTGGCCGCCCTTTGTGGACATGAAGAAGTGGTGAAGCTACTGGTTGAGCGAGATGATGTTAAGGCGGACTCGGAGGATGATGATGGTCGGACCCCACTGTCGCATGCTGCTGGGGGTGGATATATAGAAGTGGTGAAGCTGCTACTGTGTCGGGGTGATGTGGAGGCGGACTCGAAGGATATTTATGGTCTGACGCCGCTGTCACTGGCAGCTAAGTGTGGACATGAAGAAGTGGTGAAGCTACTGGTTGAGCGAAATAATGTTAGGGCGGACTTGAGGGATGAGTACGGCCTGACACCACTGTCATTGGCACGGACAGAAGCGGTGCTAGAGCTTCTAGCTCCCTGTCGTATGTAGCCAGCGGAAACTCAAGCAGATATACGAGAGGAAGGTCAGGCTCAAGAACAGCAGGACATGATACCTGACGTAGCATTGCAAGTGCAAAGCGATGCAGGCTCACGGCTTAATGTGAAGACACAATCTCTCTGAGGATGTTGTTCATGTTGAGATATTGGCTCAGTGAGCCTGAGGCCTCAGCATCTCTGAATTCATGCGCAACGACCATATAGGGCTTATTAGATGTTTTGTACCATGGAACTCTTGCAGGTCCGTCGCACTCCTCGCTTATTGTGTTTTTACTACTACAAATAGCTGTAGAAGTACCTCTTCAGTGAGTTAGAATTAAAACACCTCATTTCAATGACAAAACTTCTTGCCAAGAGAACCTCCATAGTCAGATATTTCAACAGCTCATTCACCGAGGTTGCTTACTAGTAAATACATATTCGGTGCACAGCAACCTTGTCAGCATTAGCGACACCAGTGAACAGAACAGCAACTTATTCCGCTTTGTATCTTTGCAAGGAGGTGTAAACTAAATTTATAAAATAGTAATTCACGCATGAGATGATCAAAACATGAATCAAATATTGAATAGCTCCCAGTGCCTCATTATAGAAGACCGTAGAATTGACAGTGAACCAACGTTTCTTAACCGACTCAACTTCACTCATTTTCAACACAAATCTAGCACGTCTCTCGGTAGGCATTTAAAAGGAATCAAGGATTTTGCTGCAAAAAGTTGCCGTAGAACGAAGGCATGGGTTGCAACAGACCCCACTTAGGATAGGCATCGTGCCCTTCAACGTTTGCTACTTAGCAGAGCACGTACGCGACAGGAGCCAAGAAATCTATAAATACGTCTTCCCCCTCCAGCAATTTGTTCCTCAATTCTATTACTGGGCTACGCAAAGTCGAGCAGGCCTTGCGTTTGAGGTGCCTGATAAGTTCTTCCATTAATCCCTACTGGAATTTCCACTGTACTGACATCTATGGATACATCGTGGGCCTACAAGCTAGAAAGTGCTTGTGAAGTGATTCCCACCAGGTTCACTATGTCATCCAAGCCAGCCGGTCAAAGAAGCAGATTTATGTTAGATGGTCGATGTATCTATGCGAACATCTGTCCACCATAGCAGCCGACCCCTGCCCCGCCCTTGAATATCGATGTAAAAAAGTGATCTCCATACAGGTATGTAGATTTCGGCGCGACCCTTTTCGAAACTGGACTGACTTCAAAAGACGATGCAAAGAAAGATCCATGCGTTCCGTCCAATATACCCCAGCCAGGGAGCCCTTTCCTGTGTCTTTCTTACAACATGTAAGTCACTCATTGTCTCGCCGATCGACAAGCTAATGACGGGCAGGAAACCGTTGACAGCGCACCAAAGTGAGCTGGACCCAGCACTGTCAGTGCTCCGCGCAAAGTCACGGCTTACAGGCCATTTCTTACCCTGTCATTTCAAACCATGCAACATGTCCTCTGTGAAGACTGCAAAGCAAGGTCGCGGACCAACAACAGGACACATAAGCTCTAACGTTCGTTCTCTGCGATGAGGTGGGTGGAATATCGCGCCTCCTGCTGTGCCGGTTTTGATTTTCTGCTAAGTCTGTGCCACAAACACGAACCCCACTGACATTTCCATACCGTTGTAGGAGCAGCCCATCGCCAACCGCGAAAATCTTATGGCGAATAACCTATTCGCGCCGAATCAGATACGACCAAAGGGCAGACGCGCCATTGCGTCTTACGCCCTCCTCACTGCCTCACACCGTCGACAACGGAGTGCCTCTACACGAAGCAGTCTCCCAATACGACTGTACAATCTTTTGCCACAGGTGGGTTCGTCGCGCGCTAGTGCCATCTTATGAACTTGCCCGGTGCATCCAGTGCGGCTTCTCGAAGCGACAGCCGGAGAGTGCGACGAACTGGACACAACATGGCATATTGGTGACTGCATTGCAGAAGACAATTGGAAGTGATCTAGTTGGTAAGCTGGTAGGATGACGATCTTAATTGACCAACTGTCTCAAGCGTATGCTCGGGGGATTCTTCATCAACAACGTAAAGTACAACACCTCGTCAAACTGGATCAACACTTGCTGACTCGGATCTCACCCCAGGAAGACACTCTCAGATTCTCACACTCGTATGCGAAGCGAGCTAATGTCTGGGCTGCTCAACCTCCCCTGCACCAACACCATCCTCTGTTTCTTCCACATGAATACCGATGGCATCGATGATCGCGACCTCGACCTTCTCGCAGTGGATTTTGTTCATCAGATCATGCGCTGGTATGCCTACCTGATGGAAGACCCAATGGAGCGTATAGCAGTGTCTGCCTCTCGGCATTCGAACAACCTCATAGGATAGCTTGCTTGCGGCTCGGATCCCCGGTGTCCAGTGGGTGATCATCGTTGTCCTCAGATGGCGTCTGCGTCTCTCGAGCCCGAGGAGCCGATGTTTCGCCTTGCTTGAGCCGTACTTTCGCAGACGGCCAGGTTGTTAGTTTAAGTGTGCGTGCAAGGAGAAGGTGAGGCGAAAGTCCCGTCATTTCCAGCCGAATAAAATAACAATAACCATCTCAGCTTCAAATCAAGTGGACAAGACCGAGGACAGCCGAACCAAAGATAGGGCCCATGAAGAAGCGCTGTCTGATATGGTACACTTTTAGTATACAATTCTGCGAATCAGACACTAGTTGTGAACGTCTTTTCAGTTTTCTTCTGGTGAACTCCTTTTTCTTCGACAACACCACATCAAAATGGTCTCAATCAAGATTTCCTGTGCAACTGTCTTCGCCGTACTTGTTGCCCTAGTCCAATCCTCTCCCACTATCGTCTCTGCGTTTCTAGATAAACGCCAGTGTCTTTATTGTGATTATGCTGGACCCGTATGTTGTTAACCTTCCTATAGCTGAATGTTTTGTATTTCATCCTTTGCTGGCCGTTACATTTAGCACTGCACTGCATGCATTGGATCTGTCAAGATCCGAATAACTCAGACACTTGCGCGTATAGCTGCAGTGTGGATGCGTGATTGGATTCATGGATAACGCCTAAGCCTCGCCG